CCCAATACCAAAGTTCATTGCATTCTCCTTCTCTGTGCATATGCATACTCTGACACAAACTACTGCAACAGTTGATGGAGCACTTGAAGACTATATTTTTTTACCATCAAATGGTCAGCTCTTGTGCTGAATTTGCTTGGCTGGCCAGTCCAAGACAAACTATAGTCTTACAGAACTCCTTTGATCTTGACATGGCACCACACGTTTAAATAAGTTCCACCCACACACTCCCTAAGGAGGTTCCAATCATTTATTATACCTAATCTTGAACACCTAATCCTAATGTCACAAATTTGAAGTACCGGTAAATGTAGGGGGTGTATGCACTTTGTCCTCATGAGAAATCTGTATTTTCGTTAATTTAGATGAGAATAAATCGTGTCAATTTTATGCGTCATGTGTTCAAGTAGATCACCTTTATCTGTAGATAATGAACATAAAGTTTGGACGAAGATTTAATGTTTGACTTTTCACATATGTTAAAGTCAACTATATTCATGGAGTGTACTTACTTTTTCATATGAATGTAACTTTATTTACACAATATTCAAAACCAGGTTAGGATGTGCAGAAGAAATTGTTCGGCATAAAAAGTGTCCCCCAGCATGGGGCTGTTACTAAGGGCATCAACAGTTGTGTGCATATGGGCTCCACTGATGGAAATCAGGCCCTGCACTCAACCCACCTTTTTATTCTAAACATGCTTGGCAGAACAAAACCTGAGCATTCCCATTTCTGTTAGAACCCTCTGGGCCCTTATACAAGTGGGTCTACTAGATATGCAATGTGCATATGCATTTTATTTTAGTAGTGTGTAGAAAAAACAAAACCACATACAACCTTAAAGTATAGATATATTTTATATATACAAACACAATCCCTGCTTTATTGTGTACAACTTTAAAATGTTTATTCTGATTGTTCCAAGCACAATGTGCAGCAGCTGGGCACACACACTGAGAAATTGCTACACTTACAGAATAATGGAACTGGATTGCAATAAGGCTGCAGATGACTTGGCCTTCATGTTCCATTTACAGAGAACATTTCCATTCACAAAAAAAGGTTTTTGATGAGTTATAAGAACTGTGACCAGCAGGCATGGGAGCAGTTGACTGACATAAGTTATATTTCATATAGTATTAGACCTAACCAAAACAGAACTCACTTGCTGAAACTCAACGAGCTGCTTAATGTGCTGTGCTTCATAAAGTTCTACACAAGGTCGAAGCCTTTTATATAAAGCATGAGCTATTAACAGCTCTGTAGCCAGAGAGATTCTACTGGTTATGCCTGGACAGTTTATTCTTGTTTAACCAGGATAAAGTGGAAGAAGAACAGTTGCTGGCTATCTAACATCTAGTTGCTGTACAACATTAATCTATCCATGCTTGCCTGCCCCATAGTGAAAACAAATGACAATACAGAATTTTTCATACCGTTAATCCATAATGGATACATCTATAGGAAAGAGGATCATCATAAAATGACTGTGACCACAACAGAGACATCTGCTATATTGACATGGTCAAATTAGTGAGGAGACCCAGATCCTATATGCCAGTTAAGTCAATATATACATACTTTAAAAGTGGTAAAAGCATGCTTAATAAGCAGACACCTCATTTTATTTCACACTACAATTTAGCAAAGCAAAATGCTTTGGTAAAAAGACATCACGAGAGAGGCAAACGCACACAAATGTTATGTGCCTTTCCTGTCCCAGGTTGTTGTAACACCTTTGCATGGAATAAGAAGAATCTCTTTAGTCTGTACACACTGGCTGCAATTCCAGCAAACAAGCTACTTCTATGTAGACTCTGCTTCACAACCACAGTCTAGAGATCAAGGAAAATACAAATATAGATCTGTTCCAGTTAGCAATGGTAAAAATCTGACTTCACAATGTGTGTGAATGTGAAGTAAATACAGAATCAAAGCGGAGTAATAAAATCATAGCCACACATTAATAAATAGACACACAGGACACTAATGTTCAGCAGCTGGTTTTAAACCCTTTTACTATAAGAGGAAGGGTACTATATGTTGACTCTCTCAATCAGCAAACTTCTGGGAGAGGTAGAACAGGAAGTTACCAACCCAAAAATGGAGTCTTGCTGGCTATGTTGATGTCAAACAGCAGGCTAAAATTCACAAAACCAGGACAGGGAAGAAAGAAAAAAACTAAAAAAGCTCAAAATGAAATACTCCCACTTGAAAAGTACAGTGTAAAACCACCATCAATAACATCTGCGAAACAGAATAAAAACTTTTCCTAGTTCATCTCAGCTGCCTGTTTAGCACACTGGTGCCATTTTAATTATCTACAATTTACAGAGGTGAGAGATATCCAGCTAAAGATACATTTTACTTAAAATAAGAACTGAGGCAGGTGTTTACAAAAACAAAAATATATACTGCCTTTGGTCACTAAGGAATAAATAAAATCAACACTTTTTCTGACTATAAAACAATCTTGGTATGACCTAAAAGTTATTGATATAGGAAAAAGGGAGGTAAAAAAGCAGTTGAAGATGATTGGCACATCAGAGATACAAGGACATCATAACTAGGTTCTCAAATAGTGTCCATATACCTCCGTCTGGTTACAGAAAATAAAACACGTTCATGAGATTAAACAGTAAGAGGGAACTGGTCTTGCTCTATAGGCTTCTTGACCCAGGCTCCCAGACCTGCCTTCTGGAAGGCTTTGAAGACGCATTCTTTTGCTGCTTGGTATTCTGGGGCTGACTGCTTGGTGTCGTAGTATAAATTCGGTTTTCCAATCTTTGTTCTCAAGTTGGAAGAAAGCTGTAAATGTAAAGACAGTCATTAATAATCAATTCCCGCAAACGTATCTGATATTATACAAATATATATACTGCCTGGCCGGGGGAAAAAAAAAATAAAAAAAAAATCACACACCCATATTCTATTGGATCACCATCAGCTTTGATTACGCCACACAGTCGCTTGCAGTGATGATGGAAGAGTCAGACCACTGCATAAAGTCTTCTCCAGCACATCCCAAAGAACCTCAATGGGGTTAATGTCTGGACTATGTGGTGGCCAATCCATGTGTGAAAATAATGCATCTTATGTTCCCTAAACCACTTTCACAATTTGAGCCATGAAGCTGACCTAATTTTTGTGGATCATAATGTTGCTGAACCTAGACTTAAAATGGAAGGCTCTTTGCTTGGGTAAATCCTGGTGGTGACTTTTTGGCCAGGCAGTGTACAAGCCAATATGAGATATGATAAATTGTTATCCAAGTTTGTAAAAAGTCCATCCATCTCAGCTTAATTAATGGACAGTGGGATGGGGTGCCTGTGTCTCAGAAGCTCTCTCAGACACAGAGTCTGTCCATCTATCTCAGAAGCGAGTTGGGATATTCACATCTCTGCAAGGACAGAAAACACCTCCATACAAATGTGCTTGTAGTGTTTTATAATGGTACATACAACACTTTCCAACATTGGAGAAATTGGTATTTATAAAGAGTTGTCAACATTCATATATAAGCAATTAACCATAGAGGTATTTAGGATGCTGAGCAGTGGAGGAGATAGCGACTCCCATTCCCCAACAGCCTTAGCTCAGAATTGAGCGCCTCCAGGTTTTAGAGCTGTAAAAAAAAATCCTGGCTTTAGGAGCCAGGTAAGCATCAGATCAGGGACTCGGTCCCCAGTCTGTACTGGCAGAAAGCAAGGAGGCATTGGTGATTTAACAGAACCTGGATGTCTCCATACAGGGTACCCGTCACTGCTACAGTACTATTACACAAGAGCCCCGTCAACCCCTTGTGATAGTGAAGTGGAATTAAAAATGGTTTACAAGAAAAAGAAAAAAAAATAGACCCCCCACCAACCACACACACAGTTAGGCTGCACATGTGCATGCACACTTCCTTTCATATCTCCATACACACCCGAGGTAGAGAAATCATTTTAACGCTATGAATTAGCTGTAACAGATTTTAATTCACCACCAATTTAGAGTAATGAGTATCTGTTTTTGTGGTTTTACAAGTGCATGCAATTTGGAGTCTACAAATATATGTTATTTATTAAAGTACAACTACAGGTGCCTATATGACAATCTAAACAAGTCCCAAATCCAGTTACTATGCGATATAACCAGTAGTATGCGATACCCAGATGCAGGAAAAACCTGAGACTATGGCTGACTAGAGTGTAACAATTTGTGACATGTTTGCCTATACAGAAACACACACATTAACTCAGCACTTAAAATGTGCAGCCTCAGTCCGCTGGTGTTTGTAACATACCCAGATATCCAACACTTTATTACTAGATCCCTCTTCAACCACTGTAGACAACTACATTCTAAAATAACAGAATTGCTTAAAGTACAACTAAAGGCTGCTGTATGACAATCTAAACAAGTCCCAATTCCACTTACTATGTGATGCACAAGTCTCAAAGTAAACAAAAAACGTAATTTACCTTCCCAGACTACGCCAAATCCTACTTTGTGTCTCACATGCTCCCTCTCCCAGACACTGCAGCTTACAGTGGAAAGGTTTCAGTAACAGAGGCAGTGCTGTCAATCCATAAAGCAGTGGGCAGGACCAGGTGCTGATTGACAAGCGCCAAGCTTGTGACTCAGCAGTGACAATGCTAATAGTACAGGCCCTTGAAACATTTTTTCATCCCACTGTAGTGCAAGCTGGCACAGCCTACATGTGTGGGAACTCTTCTCTGAATTCAGGAGCAGTGCAGCATTGTCACCATCATAGCAAGCTGCCTTAGTGGGATTTTTACTGGCAGGCTCAACAGGTATTTATGGGATGAACGTATAAGTGCTGGAATTTGTATGGGAGGCCATATTTCTACTTTAATTGCACAAAGTAAATTTTTTTTAAAATTTAACACATTCATGATGGCTGAACTGGTAAATGCCATTCCAGGCTGGTCAGTTTCCCTGTACTAGAAATCGTCTAGTATCTTAAAATCTATATTATAAACATTGTTAGTGACCGTACAGCACTGACATTTGTATATCAAAACATGATCTCAGTACTCAAATAGAAGAAAATGATAAACCTCATTTTGGTATGTAAATTGGTTAAAATGTTATTTTTGAGTAAACTAGTCCATACCATTAAAATTTGGTCAGGACATGAAGGTTTTAATGACGCCTGGACAAGAACAGGTTAGCAAGACTTCTAACACACCAAACACATAAAACACACCTTTGCATAAAGACGCATCCACCGACTGTACAGCGCATGTTTGCACAATCGAGATGCACGACCCATCTCATCCTTGCCAGTAGTAGCATTAATGACTTCAAGACCAGTATCTCCCACTGTCCAGTTCACACTAAAACTGGGGGCCTTTCCTGGCTGGCGGGCTTCAGCATTACTAATACCTAAAGGAACAAAAAGCCAACTTAAGAATTTGTTAGAAAACAAAAAAAAAACAGTATAAATATGCACACATTTTCTAGAAAAGAAACCCAACACTTAAGTTTTATATGGATTGTTACATCACTTATCAACGTCAATACATTTCACAGCAGCACAATTACCTCTTTAATAGTTCTAATTTGCCACAAGGCTGGCATGACAGCATGACACCATTCAGGCCTGATTCTAAGTGGGGATGCATTACAGCAGGGGTGTCGAACTCAATTTAGTTGCGGGCCACATCAGCATTATGGTTGCCCTCGAAGGGCCGGTTGCATCTGTAAGACTATATAAAAATGTATCTAATGTTTATCATATTAGATAATAGCCTCTGCATTCGATTATTACTGGTTTTAGTAATAACACTAGCTGTGACAGTAGAAATCTAGGAAAAATAAAGGCAATTAGTGTAACAGTGCGGACTCTCAGGTGGGCTTGCAGACTCTCAGGTGATTGTGCTGGTTCTATGGTGGGCTGCGCGGACTCTCAGATGGCAGTGCAGGGCCTATGCTGGGCTGTGCGGACTCTCAGGTGGGCTGTGCGGGGTCTCGGGTGGTTGTGCGGACCCTCAGTTGGCAGTGCAGGGTCTATGCTGGACTATGCGGACTCTCAGGTGGGCTGTGTGGGGTCCCCAGGGGTCCTGGTCAGTCTCAGCAGATAGAGTGAAGACACAGGAAGGAGATTTTTCGATCGGCGCTGTAAACAGGCACCGCGATTCACAGGAAGACTGCCAGGACCTCAGCAGCCTTCCTGTAAAGCCCTGTGAAGGCTTTGGTTTAAAAATGATAAAATAAAAAAATGGTAAAAATTTAAAGCGGCAGGAAAGGTGTGAGGGCCACTTGAAATGGCTTGGCAGGCCAGGTTTGACACATATGCATTAGAGTATGTGTCAGGGTTTTTACTGACTCTGTCCCTATTGCAGAGATATTCCAAGCGTCCTGTCCTGATGTAAGTGAGGTAAGATTTCACCATTGAGGACACAAAGAAAAAACACTTTAAGCAGAGTGGTGAAGGGTGAGAACTACCCGAACAGTGACAGCAGGCTCTTCCAATTTTCTGCTCGAACAATGCCGGATGGAAGGCTGCCGACAGGGGCACCCACTGAACAAATCTAATCAAGAACCAGCTAAAGCTTGTACAGTATATGGCCAGTTTTAGGCTTTATGATAATATGCATGGAGATCCAATAGCCAGTTTGTTTTCTGAGAAGGGTTGTGGCTTTTAAAAAAAAATTGGATTAAGTTTATGTGGGAGGTTTAGATGCTAGCAATGATCGTCATAAAGACAGTTTGGTAAAATGGTCAGAAGCAATACATTCAATGCTATGTCCTACTATGAAAGGGAATTTGATGTGGAAAAATATATTGGAGCACACTTTGAAAGTTGCTTCTGGGGGCATGCGGCCCATTAGCAGGTGGCTATTTTGTAATGGTTAAAAGTGTATTCCAAACCTTTTTAGAAATATCAAAGACCAGCTGCTAGAATATCACACCAAAGGTCTTTTCTAAAAGGCAAAAGTAGCGCAGTGGATAACCCACTCTGTTCAAATAAGCACACTGGTACAAATGTAACAAAGCACATTATCTGTTTTCAGTCGAACAATAACCATTACCAATTATCTAGTTTAAAGCTTCAAAGCAACCATGACTGACAAGATAACTGCTTAATGTTAAACTGTTTGGCTACCACAGACAGGGAGACATCTGCTCCTCCTGGATTGCAGTGCAACCTGCTGCTATCACCACGATTTGGCCAACTGAATAAAGAGGTGGACAGGCAGCTCACTTCTTGATGCGAGGTTAGGCAGGTTGCTCAGCCACGTTCCAACAAATGTAAAATGTGGCTGTAAAACTACTTATGACCTTGAAGTGTGCTTCTTGCTGTTAAGTTGTGCTCACAAGTATCCTGATTTGTGCCTTAATGTCATATCAGGGGAAGGATCAGGCCACTTATGGCTAGCCTTGCTTACAAATACTTCTATTCGACATGCTAACTTAAAGGGTAATTCCAGTTTGCCAACTGCCGTTCCCACCACTGCTGTGTGCGGTGTCCAGTGTGCCATACTGGGACTATACATGCACATGGCTGGGAAGGGCCCACCCTCCCAAAGGTTTGACCACGGGGGAAGGGGGGCACAGAGCAGACCAATTTGCAGGGGTAATTTCAGTTTACTTGGAAACTGGAATTAACCTTTAAAGCCAAAAAAAAAACAACAACAACAACAACAACAGGTACTGCCCCCCCACCTGCACTGTGGTAGTTAAACTATTGCTTAAAAGTTTATATCCACATTTGCAAATCTGGGTAACACCAACTTCATATATCTGCTAAATGTTCTCATTTGCATAGAACACAGAAAGAAAAAAAATCCCAAGATTGAACAAAAATGCAAACCTTGCAGTGTGTGGAGGCCCCACTGCACAGATATTTTTATTCTGGTGCCTGGAGTGGGCACCAGCATTAAAGACATGATGAACAAACTGATTAGGAAGGACACTGATCACATAATAACCAGAACCACTGAACTTATAAGCACTTTATACAAACCCAAAGATATATAGACAAAAAAACTCAGACTATCACTTTAAGAATACTGAGAGCCGACAGGTATGAAGTGCTGACACCTAGAGGTGCAAATACCTGGAGCGGCTTTCAAGGTCCTCTGCTTTGTCTGAAAATAATTACATTTTGAAAATGAAGCATGAACATACAACCTATTACTACATAGACTACTGAAATCTGCATTGGGAAATCCAGAAGTATTGAATGATGCTGTGTTTGCACATGGTACAATTTTAATTGGGGCATTATAGATATCCCTGGTGACTGTATGCACCAGTTAACATATGCACATAAACAGCAGCACCAAGATGACTTCACCAATATATCTACAGGGACTCTGTGTAATGTTCGTAGTAAACATATGCAGATCCAGTGGCAAACCACTACAAGTCAGTCAGTGTTTCTGTGACCCACAAAGATGAACTCCAGGGAAAAGAAAAAAAATACTCCCCACACACTGCAAATGGTTAGTGCTTGTTTATGCCTATGTGCCAGTAAAAAGAACTATTACTTACCTACATAATCCCTCACTCCCATAAGTCTTTCCTCTCATTCCTAATGCTCTGGGTTGTGGGTGGGCCCTCGGCACCCTAATGTATAATGCAGGCTACTGACCATTGTATTTCGTGATGTCATGTCCTAGTGCCTAGGAATGTAGGAAGCCCGCGGTGCCAAGCAATTAGGCAAGGTCAAGGGAGGGTTTTTATTTTTGCTGGAGTTAGGCTTCAAGGCCATGTTACACTAGCAACTTTGTTGCAAACAATTGTAGCAGCTACAGATCTTATTTTCTCTGGTGATTTTTTAGCTAGCTACAGAACTGCTTTTGTCAATTTTGTAAATGACCTAGAGCTACAAATCACTTGGAATTTAGTGATACAGGCATTTCACTGTGCAAAAACACTAAAAAGGAGAGCAATCCTGCAGCTGCTACAAATATCCAGTGTGACATAGGCTTTAATGTTAGGGAGTCCATTACTATACTAGCAATGTCATAAAAAGAAACAAAAAAACAACTTACCACTGAGTAATGGTTTGTTGAGACTATAAAGTGGTGGTAAGTCGTCAATATCGGCTATCCTCTGGTACACGGCCCTTGAAAGATGATCCCCATGGTACAGGCTGCCCAGGATAATACTGGATAAGTAAATTGGCTCTACTAAAAGACTAAACAGGGATCCTTGAATGCCTGCAACATTCCACCTGTATTGAACAAGAGGTCGACCACACAATTAGAAAGATTGTCACAAAGCAAAAAACATCTGTTCGATCCAAATACTGACAGTATTGACAAAGGCAACCAGTCCAAAGACTTGTATGCCAATTCTAGGGCAGTAAATCTATACCCCCGCTGCCCTGGAGCAAAAAAGCAGCATGAATAATGGAAGAGCAGATTTGAGGATAATAAACTCCCTTCGAGACTGAGCTTGTTTTTAAGTTTATTTGTTAATGACCGACACACATTTTTGCGGTGTGATTCTTCCAAGGCAGTAATGTGCTTTCTTACTAAAGTGCACCCACACATTATATATTGTTTTTTAGAGAGGACAGATAGCCCCACATATGTGATATAAATATATAGCCCCACATATGTGATATAAATATATAGCCTTAACGCCTCACTTAAAAAATGAGGACAAAAGAAAGTTGAAAGAAAACAAACACCCATATTCCCCAGTTATTTTTTAGAAAAACAGCACAGCTAAAAAACAAAACAAAAAAAAAACACACAATACATTACTATAAACTCATTTATTTGTCATTTGGCAACGCATCACATTCCTAGGATTACAGAAAATTTTCTGTACTTTTCAGCCTAAAACTAAAAAGAACATTTACATTTTTTTTAATCTAAAAGCAATAGTGGTCACCTGGCATACAATGTCACTGTCCCCAAGTGTCACACATACTTGATCACGGTCATGAAGGGTTAAATAACACATTTTATGAGTGAAAAACAAATTTGCAGCACATTCATTGTAAGGGGTTAATTTTTATCATGCAGAAAGGATTTTAACAATAAATTTTGCAAGGAGGTCACTGTTCACTAAACGCTCACCTTGCAATCTTGTCACTGCAAGACATGGTTAGTAGTCGCTCTCCTTGCAGAACACCATCCCAGGTTTGGATAGTACTGCTGGACCTTACTGGAATAGTTCCTTCTCCAGACTCGATCTTGGTTCGAAGCTGTCCTCTGGCTTTTCGGTTTGGGTGGCGATCACCCTGCTCTGTGAAGAATAAAAAAAAAAAAAAAAAAAAAAAAAAAAAAAAGAAAAGAAGAAAAGAAGGGAAAAAAAAAATAGACACTTGAGAATTTAAAAAAAAAACAAAAAACAATAGTCCGCTTGCCCCCTCAAAAAATGAACAGAACACACTAGAAGTCACATAATACATAACGATGCAGAAAGGTGCCATGTTGATTTAAAGCAACGCATTTTGTATGCATCTAACTGAAAAAAAATTTACACACCTGCCTTTATTGTATGCAGTGTATTCAACTACACATACATTCTTGCACTACCCATAGACCAAAAAAAAAAAAGGAAGACAGTTGCCCAACTCAGTTATTTCTTTGCAGGTTTGATCGAAGTTTGATGGAACCCCCAAATGAGGATGCTTTGGAAGCAACAATCACCTGAGCAGGTTACAAAGATTGACCAATGGCTAATGTTCCTTCCAATGATGAGCAACAGAGTCTGCCGGTGTTGGTCATTTGCTCATCCCTTCCCCTCTACAACCAACCAGAATTATTAGCTGAACCAAGTTGCTGAAAGTGAGTGTGTGGGACGGCAAAAGGGATCCAACTGGATTGAGCATTCAGGATTGACCTTCCTTTGATATTGAAGGCACTCTAAGACTTTTAGGGACTTCTAGAATTATCGGTTGCTGAAACCAAATCCTAATAAATAATCATAATAAATAAAAAAGCTTTACGTGTCAAGATTTAAACATTACTATAAAAGATATTGAAAAACTAAACATGCTAAAATATATCTCAAAATAACATTTTGTAAGGTTTTTCTTTTTAAAGAGACGGCTTAAAACATCTGTCAGGTTTGGAATCTGCATCCCATTAAGGAGATTTCCCTTCACATCCTGTTCAAGAACCACCTAAAAGATCATCTTTCTAAATAAGGGTGTCCCCAATTAAAGATTTAACCTCACCTTTCCCCCTGGTAATAACATTAAAGGATTTCCTCTCATTTTCTCTTGGAACAATGATAAAAAGGACAAATCGAAGGGTGAATCTCCCCAGCAGGGATGAACACGGCAATAGAAAGTGATCGAGTTACATTAAGCTATACAGCAAATGGTAAGGCAGCATACGAAATGCTTGGTAATATTTACATGTTGTTACTATGATTTCATAAGTAACCTGTTTCAGGTTAACTGGCTCTTAAAAGATCATACTGGGTTCATAAAATGTAAGCAAATAATGAAAGTATTATCAGGTCTTTTTGTATATGTACATAACATGAAGACTACATACGAAAAAACCTGCTCAGAGCACTATGGGTTCCGTCCCCTCAGAAGATAAAGAGGAAGGGTAAGAGCTGTCTGCATTGAAAAAACATGCGTCATGAAGGTGAAAAAAATCATTGGTCAGATTTCAATGCCCTTGATAAAAAGGTAAAGATTAATAAAGAAAAAAAAAAAAAGAATAAAAAGGAGAAGCCTAGAAGCCTTAGAGTCAAGTCCTTTGATGATCATGGCAAGTACAGTATAGGTTGGCTTCCATTGCCGACCACAGATCTTGATTGTCTGGCACTCGTGTGCTGGCTCCAATGCTTTGAGGTAGTCGATAACCTAGAACAGGTATAAGATGAGAAATTCGGACTTCTCATTAGCTATGTACTGGATGAAGGTGTTTGGTCTATGACTCTGTGACTGACTCAGTCTGACTGGAAATATTGAAGCCAGACATAGCCAACAACTAGCATTTGCAGATCTTTTTCTCGTGACAGGTGTACTTTAAACCCCAAGCAGCCCAAGGGCCTAGGTAATAACAAAGCCATTGTAAAAACTGTAATGTGATTATCTGCCATTGAGTTATAGGGTTTACATTGTCTGTTATTCTAATACCTTCCTGTCCAGCTTCATGAGGTGAAAAGATACGAGCATCCCCACACGGCGATGTGCTGATGTAGAGATGAAACTGAACATTGTCTTTCAGCCTAAATCCACTGCGTTCAGATTTAATAAAAATGGACTTCTGATGATCTTCCTTAGTGCTGAGAAAAGAAAACCCAAATAAGTGAATGTGCTCCGTTTATATTAAAACATCAATAATACCAAAACAACTGAAATAGAAGTACTCTGAAATGCAAAGGAGGATCTCTACTGGATTTTATAATCTGGGAATGCCATGTTTTTGTTCCATTCCTTGTTTGCTAAAACTCTGCCTCTCAGTAACTCTTTAGTGCAACTTAGGCCTGGGCCACACCTAGGCATTTATCGCACAATTTTTTTCCTGCACATTTCTGCTTTTCTCCCTTTATAGAGATGTCTATGGGACCAAATCTGCACGGCATCCGCCTCAAAACTGCTCCTGCATCTTATTGCACGACAGGCGTTTTCATGCTCGATGCAACGCTAAGGTATGAACAGTCACCATTGCCTTGCATGGAAATGTGTTTTGCGCGTTTTCACATCCACGCAGGTGTGAACCAGGCCTCAATGTTAGGTCGAAAATCTGAGCCAAGGGTGGTGGAGTGATGGCTACTTTACAACACACACACAGGGACCATGGGGAACAAAAGTAGTCACCCTTCAGAAGGAAGGACAGTGTCAGCACCAATTCACAGATGATTTGTGGATACTCAAACAAGATACATTTTTGTTAATAGTTGGGGTACTTGAATTTATTTTTAAAGGTTGAACTCCTGAGTTTAGTTGTTCACAACAGATTTGAAAACCAGTTAAAGCATGGTCCTTCACTCACCTTAGGAATAACTCTAGCTGTGTGTAGAGGAATCTCAGCAGTGACCTGCGTGCTATGATCTCAGCATGACAGTCATTTAATGCAAGACCACGGTCACTCATGTACTCTCCATTAATACATTTTGTTCCAGTAGAAACACTGATGACCTGGGCATCTTTCACATCGGTTCCTAAGAGGCAAATCCAATGTTATTTATCAGATTTAAAAATAAAAGATCCCAAACAGAGCCATTAAGTAGAAAGGAGGTGCGTTACTGGCAGGATGACTTTTTTTACCCTACGTTTTGGATAGAGTGGGGAAGCATATGAACTTTGTTCAGGTTTATATTCCTGTTCATATACCCATTGGGATATTTCCACTCAATTCATGCTCACCTGTCAATAGGACAAGTAAAAGAAGGAAATCTCCAACAAACAAATAACAATCATTCTTTTTTTCATTAGAGCAGGGAAGGCTTAGGACTCTCAGGTTTTCACTACCACCTGTGCCCCAATTGGGAGATTTTAATTCCGTGTCTATCCTGATGACAAACTACATGTGCCTACTAGAGTAACATTCCATCAATTCCTGGCTGTGTTATTGGAACAGGAAGTCAGGGGAATGGTGCCCATTGATATTTACACAGTTCATATTACCTTTGCCTCCAAATACCCTTCCCCTTTAAATAACCACCCAAATTCCACACACAATTGTATGTACCTGTTGTCATGACTACACCAGCCAAGACTTTCCGCCGCGCATGCGGGGATGTGAAGTTATCCGTTAGTTCACTGAACTTATCTACAACCAAACGCGCAACAGCATCAGCCAGAACCTTGACATAAAAAAAAGGGTAAAAGTTCAGTTATTGACAGATTATTTTGCATAAGCATATACTGTAAGTAAAAGCCAATGTTTGAAAATCCAGGATCCAAGTGTTACAAGTTTTCAGGTTAAAAAGGCAGAATTTTTGGCAACCAGTTATTTTGCTTCCTGAATTTCACTTTTAAAATAAAGTTTAAAGAAAAATGTATATTTAATGGACACTGACCTATTGAAAGATTTTTCTTTCCAAAACAGGTATAACCTGTACTAACGAGTTACATATTTTACGGTCATATACAACCGAAGGGGTGTACAATAAGTGCTGTCCATTGAAATTGTTGACATTTTCAGCATATTTTAACAGGCAAACAGTCAATAGGACAGTAAGCAACAGCAAACATGAGATGTGAGCACTGCTGCCTCTGACTGCCAGGCTCATGAGATTTGGAGTGAGAGTTGGTGATGTGCTTCTCACTGTTCTACCTGGAGGTGCTAATGTGAGGAAGCAAAGCCCTGCCTCTACTAAGATGGCTGCCTCCATACACAGACAATGCTGAATAAGGATAGGCAAGTCATTCATTGGGAAAGGCCAGCTGCAACAAGACCACGGGGAAAACTCTGCACTTGTTCTGTGCCATCTGCCTTTCTTTTTTGAGCACAGCTTCCAGAGTTCAGTTCCTCTTTCAATATGCAAGCTGACTCTCCGACTAGACTTGCCACCTACATTTGACCTCTGCTCTATCCCCTGAACTGAACCTGCAAGTCTTCTCTTACACAATAAAATCCATACACACAAAAGTAATGCATTCTGTTTTTATGCACCTGTAAACAAATTTTCATATCTGTTGAACCTTATTAAAAAACACTGTTCTATTAAAGTAGTAAGAATGAACAGTTAGCTGTTACTTAAAACAAGGAAACACAAAAACTCAGTGTTGCACTTGATCCATTGCTGGGTCAAAACACATCGCTTCGTGAATCATTGGGAATATGTAATAGCCTTAAAACTCAGCTCCTACCAATTTTTGCCTTATAATAATTCCAGAAAGGAATGGACAGATAAATGGGCAATGAGTAGATAGGGAAGGCTTTGAGCCGGTCAGGTTTTTCTTACCCCCTTGATCTTCCTGTACTGATCCTCTTCCTGATGGCACCATTTTGCATTATTTCTTGTTATGGTGTCATCACGGAGATGATGGCTAATGCAGGGAAATTATCAACTGGAGAAGTCTATCTGGAGCAGTTGCCTGTAGCAGCCAATCAGCTTCTCTGTCACTTTCAAAGCTTAACTGAACTAAAGATTGAAGCTGATTGGTTGCAATGGGCAACTGCTCCAGATTCTGTTTGCTCTAGTTTTGATAAATTCCCCCATAAAATCGAGAGAAGCTCTCTAGACTGCCCCAAACTATTCAAACCTAGAAAAGAAAATTATTATACTCTAGTTTGAACCGCTCTCTTGAGAGAAGATTCCCTAAATCACATTTCTAAATGCCGTTATTTTTGTCAATGTATGGCTTGCAACAATATACTGGTCTTACAACACTGATAGACCTCATCATATGTACAATCTAGTGTAGTTTTACCTGGCAATATTTTTGCACAAAACAATAGAAAAAAAAAGTCTAGATGTGGGTTTTAACCAAAAGCCCAGCTTGACCCAAGGTTTACAAAACAAGAAGACATGGCACTTCTTATATTTAGTTTACATATTCGTGCACTTGCCAGCTTTTCATAGAAAAAAAGTTTTTTTTCAAAAAAAATTGTGTACCAAATAAAAGCCGTATCAGTCTATTAAAAAATAATTAGGTATGAAAATTAGTAAACAAAAAAATAAAATATATATATTGCCTGGTTAAACGAAGCACATTGATGCTTTTATATTTGGCCTAAGCATCAATGATATCTGGTCACAAAAGGGTTGACAGACAGACCACTTGCCCAGTTTCACTCTGCACTTGGATCATAGGGGGTCTTGGTTGGCCTTTATGCAAGGAACCCTGAACGTTTTAGGAAGCCTGCACATTGCTTGCTGGATTCAATAGTATTTACTGAAAATTCAGCTATGAGTTGACCAGAAATGCGACTAATAAAATGAATAAGCTTCTAATTCCCCTTACCTGAGGTAAGTGCAGTTGTAGTCCTTCACTTGGAATAGGCTGTCGGGAGGGGGTCTGATCCAGCTGCAAGTTAAAGAGAGATGCCAAAGCTGACTGAGCAGCCCGTGCTTTAGCAAGCTTCTTGTTTCTTCCAGAACCCTCAAATGTTTGATTGTCCACGGTGACTGACATGACAAAGTTCTTAGCATGACTTTCCCCACTCTCTGAGACAAAGTCATACTTCAGACCAGGCCGTAGTTCATTTAAAATCATTACAGGATTTTTTCCACTTGCTGGTGGAAAAAGAGATGGGGTAGGAAGGGGAGACTGGACTAGATTGCCAGATCCAACCAATGTAATGCTGAAGTCGCCCAAAGAACTTAAAGCTTCATTTCCGTTAGATCCCAAGAAAAATGCATGATCAGACTGTTCTTGCTTCTCAAATCCATTGAACAATGTGTCAGCAAAATCAGCCTGGTCAGAAGTGAAATCAGTGTTTGCAGATTGTGTTCTGCCCATAGCGATATGGGCTTCTGATGCATTTGGAAATTGCACAAAGGACCGTAAAGCCTTTTCAGCTGCATGAAGCTTGGCTTTCTTCTTTGTTGGTCCTGAACCCTCGAAAGCCTGTCCATTAACCTCGACAGTCATGATAAAAACAGGTGCATGGACTGGCCCAGACTGAGAGAGAAGCTTATACTGCAAACCAGGCTTTATTTCATTCAGCTGCATGAGAGCATTCTTCGGCAACACAGGTCCTGGAGTTTTCTTCCTCTTCTTCGGCCGAAACTTGGAATGTCCATTATTACCTTCCTCCAATGGTCTTTTTCTGTTGCTTCCCTCACCCCCATTGGAGAGCTGAGCCCCCTCCCCAGTTGTTTGGCCATTCCCATCTTTTGCGGAAACTCCATCCACGTTACGGTTTTCTTTAACATCAGTGCTGCTTGAACCTGCGGTGCCCAGAAAGAGTAACTTACAACGCCTTCGTTGCAGGATCTTGTAAATGCAAAATTTATAGATTCCTTTATCTATCTTTGTCACTGGTTCAGTGATGTGTGGTCACGAAATACCTACTTATGGCAAATATAAGTTGCCATTTACATTCAATCAATATCTAACAAAAAGAAAAATTAAACTTTATATTTTTAAACACTTTAATTCTTCTCTGGAAGAAACCTTTTCACATATAGATTTTGCATTGAGTCTATACTGATGGCAAATAAAACTTACCATTAAGTTAAATTTAAAAATATAGAAATTAAAACTAGAATTGGGAAGACTGAAATCATACTGAAAAGGACTGAAAGGAAGCAAGACATTTTGGACGTTGAAAATAATTTTTCCAGATTGGTTTATATATAAATCACAATAAACACGGAAAGTGACAATAAAATAGAAACCATTTAAGAAATGTTTGAATTAAATGTAAAAGCTTAAGGCAAAAATTGTAACTTTAAAGTTTAACATTTTTAAAATAACATTAGGAGAAAACTGATGGGAAAATGTTTGACATATGTGGAACTTTGAGGTCCTCTTTCACTTATAACATCTGACTTGAACGGACCCGAGTGTTCCAAACTTTGGAACATAATGCAAACACACACCACTTAACCCAGCTAACAAAGCTGATGGAATGGTTGCTAAATTTTCATTTATAACATCCTCCAGCAAAAGCTCGATAGGTTACTCCTTTCGGCGCTCAACAGACCAAAGAGAAAGAAACAAAAAATAAACTTTGAAATGAGAAAATATAACTGCTGGTTAAAATGTTAGGCATGCGCTTTGCTTATTGGGTCGTGTTTAATTATTAAGTTAAAGCTATCCTTTGCCATGCCAACTCTCATATAGCATTGGAATAAAAGGGAAAACTTAACTGATTGCTTAATTACATAGTAATTCGCTAGAAAAGCCACATGACCAGGATTCCAATTAAAAAAACGAAAAAAAAACCCCTCCAGCCTTATTTATAAAAGGTGAAATGAGATTGCTTAAGAATTTGTGCATGATGGATTATAAAACCAAAATCTCTCATGAGTATACAAGTATAAAAATAAATACAATAAATGGATGTAATGTTAGGGGAATACGCATCATTAAGCCTGCAAAGTTAAAATATTTGAAGATTGAATAGTTAGTAAATGTATACTTAACTTCCAGGATGTGTAGCAGGCACACTAGGGTGTCTACTCATACCTTGCCAATGCTCCCTCACCAGCACCCCAGGAGGAAAAAGTAAAAAAAAAAAGAAACCAAAAAACCCTATGTATGGGAACATCTACAATATGCTCCTTTCTCCTAAAATGAAGTCCTTGGTGCATAAGGCCTCATTCACACCAGATACAGTGCGTTCTGGCCCGATTCTGGCCAGAACGCAATACATCGCATTGAGGCCGGCTTAGTATGTTGTGGGGGCAATAGGGGGTGTGGAGGTCCATTGAAGCGAATGGCACCGTTGCCACGTCCTCCGGCCACAATGCGATCGGTCTACAGTCGGTCCAAAAAAAATACTGCAGCATTTTGTAGGGAACGGACTGTAGGCATAAGGTGTCTTGCGTTTCCCTGCGGCCGATCACATTGCAGGCCGGAGGGCATGGCTACGGTGCCATTCACTTCAATGGACCGTCACAACCCCTCCTGCCCCACAACATACTGGGCCTGCCGCGATGCAGTGCATTCTGGCCAGAATCAGGCCGGAATGCACTGTCTGGTTTGAATGCGGCCTAAATGGTCAGATGGCAGGCCCAAGTGATGTCACATGTGAGGCAGAGATGAGCATGCTTATCCTTCTGCAAATTTTGATGTCTAGAAAGCAGGACTTCTAATTCTGATATACAGCTAATACAGGGGGGATACTCATCTGCAGAAAATCCCATCTGCAGAAAATCATGAAAATTGTGAGCAGCAAGCATGTACCTACATAAAACCTACACGCACAAAATGTTTTTACACACATTAAAGTAAAAACCCTACAATAACCTGAAACAGCCTCCAAATTGCTCTCTGCAGAGAGCAAGGAGAAGCAGCCCCATAAGAGCTTCAGGCCCATCCTAGTCAGAGCCTATACAAGGCTAAGCATTCTCTTCCTGGCCCCATGAGACAGCTCTGATGTTACAGTGGCCAAGTACCAGTACTGTCAATGGATCCTATACCCTTCTATTCCTAAAAGTACTAGGTATTTCTCTTAGCTCCTAACAGCTACAGGAATGCGAGTAAAAGCTGCTGCAGGTGCCAGCAATAAAGTGAACCTGTTGCTTTGCGTGTGCAAATAACAGGATCACTTTAAAGTCTACAGCAGAGCCAGAGCACACCAATCAGAAGGGATCATGCACTTAGCTTCTTGGAGAGCTCTAGCTCTGACTCAGTGGGAGGCATGCAAGACCATTGCATCTAGGAGCAGTGGTGCATCAATGCAGCATGACAGAGTGCAGGCAAAAAAAGCTGTGCCTCCTTATGAACTAAACAGTAAGACTGATCTTAGGTTTCTATTGCACCTGGAATGTACTGAAATAATTTTACAGAGTTCATCTGGGATTTAGGTATACAGCATAACAAACTGTATCCAAAAATAGTTCATAACACAAGGTAAATCAAGAACACCAACTGTGCAAAATTGTATAGCCCAGTACTGAAGCAAGCATTATTATTTTTTGAAGTATTAAAGAGAGGCTGCCCTAAGAGTAAAAGAAAAAAAAAATCACTAGCACCTAGAAGGTGTTGCCACCTTAAGGACACAACAAATTTAATACTGTGCTTTTAAGAGCACAGGCAGTGTCAGAGCTTGCACTATACCCTGGCATCCACACATTTCTATTTGCCCATCACTATTATGGACTACCTCACTTGCCAACAGAAATAGGAGGCAGGCAAGGGTGAACGAGTTTTGTCACCTTCAGGATGTGCCCAAGCTTTGACATCAGAACGGCTGTCAATTCAGCTGTAACAGCAAGACTTTGGAGGCTGATGCAGGTATGTGTGAACACATCTCTAGGTGCATACGCTTTATGTCCACAGCAGTTTATATCGGCAGCAGAGTGTCTTTAATGCATGCCATAGGTTCATAGATATAACAGCGGTCTTGAGGCTGAAGAATGAACAAGATACTACTGGAAATGCTGGATTAAAATCAATTTCAATAACAAATCCTAGCCAGACCAGTAAACATAGTGGTAATAGAGGATTCCGGAAAAAAAAAAAAAAAATGTAGCTACTGAATCCACTGTGTATAATATGCATAGCCTTAATATAAAAAGATTATCTTCTAAATAATCCAAAAATTATTTAGAAGATTGAACAGAACAGGTTCTCTGTGTTATGGTTTATAATACTTGATGTATGTTTTTAATCTATTTTGTATTAATTCAATTTAAGAAAGTATTGGATTTTTAACAAAGTTGTATGTGTACCATTAATGTCAACCAGGGTTTCAAAGAACCTATTCTGTTTAATTTTATAAATATTGAATCTAGTTAAAAAACAGCAACGGTTAGTGGAAAGATCAGTGGTTAAAAATGGAATTTGCAATCTTTTTTAGTTCTTTTTAATACAGGGTATACGAGTAAGTATGCAACAACAAAAAAATAGAAAAAATAAAATAAGGAAAAGCTATATAAAAGAAAAACCACCCACACACACACCACACACACCTTGTACTTTGGTTTGAATTGATGAATGTTTGTGACAGTAGTTTGGTGGTTTCAGCTAGATGTTGTGCTTCTAGCAGTAATGCAAACACAGGAAATGTGAGGAGGTATCCTGCTGTTAAACAGCAATGCAAGAGACAAATCATAGGCCAGGTTTACACACCGGTCTCAGTTGGTTGTCCAGGAAAAAACAGACGTAGGCATTGCAAATGCCCATTAACCTGATCTGCTATAGATGTGCCAATTTGCTTGCTAAACGTCCCCCATTGTTTTTTACTCTTTCATGGAAAAGTCACAGCCTTCCAAGACTGACCGAAAAAAATCAGATCTAGGGAAAGTGCCGATTTCTGCATCTTAAATACAAAATCACCAATTCAGGGAGAATCTGAATATAAACAACCCCATGACATAAAAACCCCAACAGATATACTGGTTAATTTAATAGACAGCATCTCAAAATAATTTGCCTTGAAGCTATATTAGATTGTGTATAAGTTGTGCATAGTGGAAAATGTCATTTATAATGGTTGCGCCTAGAAAAAACATCCCCCAAAAAAACAGTTTTCTTAATGAATCTCCAAAAAGATATCAACTATATCTTACTCATATTTTCTTCATCATCCACATCCATGGTGAAATACTTTTGTTGCTTTCTAGACTGGCGAAGGGTGCCTCGCTCTAAAACGAGATTATATATGTGTTATAAGCAGGTTCCATACATACATGACACGTAATACCTAAAATAAAATATTCGGATAATTAGTTAGGACAAAAAAATAAATAAAACTTATGGTACCTGACCAAGCTCCAGCTTTGAATCTGAAATGACTACTTTCATAGCTTACTACCCTTATATTTTAACTCGACCACGGTCTCTGCTATAAATCCTTTCTATGATTGTGTTGTAAATACATTAAACAGAAATTGTTTGGATGTACTACGTATGAAGGCCTGTGGTTTTTGCAGATAAGACATTATTTAACATTTAATAAGTTAATGTTTGGCAGCATGAAAGAACATCTCAAATTATTATGCTTACAAATTTGTTTTGGCATAAATTTTGCAAGTAGCAATTCTGTTTGAAATATGTACAGCTGACATTTTTACTCATAATTACTAAACAAGGGAAGTGAGATAAGAAAACTCCCTGCTTTGTATACACAATGAATACATTTATAGAGTATTAAACTTAACACCTTGTCTGCCTCCACTACTATCCTGATGCAGCATTCTGAAATTTTAATCCAATTGGATCTGCTTACACATTTTTTTTAGAATAACAGCACAAAGTACAATTCATTCTGACAGCTGAACACGGCCAACAAGCTTTTCAGCTACTCCAGAAGTTAAGAAAGGATTTTACTAAGCTAATTTCACACTGCATTCGGTCAACATTCACTACATGATTTAGCAAAGTTTAGCCCAGTCCAATTCAGCACAAACTAAAGCCCCAGTCACACAAAAAAAAAATTAAATACACAACAACCCCAATTCCCCAAAATTTGGGACCCTGTAAAATGTACATTAAAATAGGAGTTTGAGATTTTCAAATCATTGCATTCTGTTTTTGCTACAATAGAGAACACAATACATGTTTAAACTTAGAAAATGTATAATTTCAAGAAAAAATTTAGATGGCATAAATAAATTGATGGCAGCAACACTTCTCAAAAAAGTTGGGACAGGGCCATGTTTACCGCTGTGTAGCAGCCCCTTTTAACAACTCTTTGTAAACGTCTGGGAACTTAGACCAGTTGCTGGAGTTTCGGGAGAGGAATGTTGTCCCATTCTTGCCTGATATAGGATTCTAACTACTCAACAGTGCCGGGTCTTTGTCCTATTTTTTTGTTTCACGTTGCGCCAAATATTTTAATCTGGTGAAAGGTCAGTTAGGCACCTGGAATCTTCTACTATGAAGATTTGTCAGTTTAGCATTGTCCTGCTGACGTATGCAAGGCCTTCCCTGAAAAAGACATCTGGATGGGAGCATATGCTGCTG